AAACAGGATATAATAGATATGGAAACTTTGTGAGAGGGTTTCTTTCCACGCACTGGTTATCTAAGCCTAGGCCTAGACGAGGAGCATGCACTATGGCTTCTGAGACACTGTCAACAACATTTCTGATAGGCCTACACTTCCTCGATCGATTTATGTTTTTCTATGAATGTGAAATACTCCAATTCTACGGGTTAAACCGACGAAAGCCTTTTCGCCACAAAGCTAACCCTGGCTATAAATGAGCATAACATAACAATGTAAACAAAAATAATTATTATTTTGATGGGACTGAGATCGCATTGCCATTAACCTAGCCTAGGCTAGACTGTTTACTTATTTAGTATTTAGTATTATTTACTTCCAATCACCAAAACTGTGGGTCTAATGTGAACACTAAGTCTTTTGGGCTAGTCACTTGTGTAAATTTTGGTTTCTCTTCCAGAATCACTTCGACGACAGTCAAAGAGAAACAGATCGCCAGGAAACGATCTTCCAAGGCTGAAGCAAACTTGGATGTTGATGGGCAGCAAATCTGTTGCTATGAGGGCCATGGTTTCAAAGCTGAAATGATGATTATTGAGTGGTGTGATATAACTTTCATGCGTTCATGACATATAATAAATTGTGTTGATTGAAACTGAATTATGAGCCTTTTTCTGTTCAGGCCCACAAGTAAAAGAGACATGGGTGGGGGTGGGGTGGGGGTGCGCCTCCCTGGAATTATTTCCATTATAGTAATTTCACTATATTCTAAAGTTTTATGTAACAACAATCACTGGTTATAGTTTATGCACCGTTTTGACAGTCCCAACTGTCGTCAGGCACATGGGCTTATTGATCAAAAACAATATGAATTATATTATACATTATGTTACTTATCAATATGTTGCTTAAACTGTAACTAGTGATTAGCCTATTGTTCCATATAGCTGTAGAATATATTAGCGAGTATAGTCCCAGGGAGTGTAACAGTAGCCTAAACAAAACCAGCTTTAGTACTGTAGGCTAAGCCTTCTTTATGTACTCATGACGACATATTGACGTCGTGACGTCATTACCCAAGATGTCAGCTTCCATTGATTAAAACTGTTCATTTATTTAGGTTGAATATTTCTCAACTAAATGGATGTTAAAATCAACTTTTATCCTAAAACGAAATGATACTGATGAGGTTGGAACCTTGCTTGAGCCTATTTGGTAGGTAAGACTTACTAGTAGCGTAATAATCCATTTCTGAATACACTACTGACTACAGTACAGACAATATCATATGATATAGTACCGTACGGTAGTACAGTGCTGTAACCTATTTTTGTGCATATAAGTTAAAAAAAAAACACAGAAGTTAAAAAAACTGAAAAAAAAATTCAGTTTTTTTAACTTCGGTGATATTCTACAAGATAATTAAAATTGGTTGTTTCGATTTTCTTTATGAATCCCTCACTTTGACCCATATTTCATGAGCAACCAATTCGACAACGGCGGCAAAATGCGTCACCTATTTTCGTGTACAATGTTTGATCTATAAATAAGTCGAGAAAGACATGTTGTATGGATACCCAGTGGTATAATTTTTTTTTTTTTAAATCATGGTTCTTTGAAGGAATTGTCACTAGTTATAATGAATTGATATTAAAGATAAATACTTTAAGAAGAGAAGTTAATTATACCACCCGGCATCCATACAACGTGTTTTTCTAGACTTATTTATAAATCAAATGTGGTACACGAAAATAGGTGACGCATTCTGACGCCGTTGTCGTGTTGGTTGCTCATGAAATATGGGTCAAAGTGAAGGATTCATAATGAAAATCGAAATAAACCAATTTTAATTATTTTGTAGAATATCTGAGGAAACATCTAAGACATAAGAAAAAAAAAATTCGTTTCTTTAACTTTGACGAAATTCGGCGTTGAATCCTTATATTCACGAAAATAGGTTACACCACTGTAGAATTTTTCTGCTGACACAGAATTCGCTACTTGATCACATGACTTCATTCGTTGGACTACATTCTAGCAGACGACACTTGGAATTCCGATTACAGCTTGGGATTATAGGGAAATTCGGCCGATAACGTGGTAATAACTGAAACCCGCCATTTTGTATTTGTCAATGTAGACATTTTACTTTGCTTGAAACTACTGGATTCATTCTGCTAGCTGACAGTGTACAAATAACCTATGTTTATAAAAATAAACAAATGTTGGGGTCAGGCGAGGTCGCACATGTAAATTATTAATCATTTCAGGAGATGCACGAAAAATAGGTAAGCACGAAATTAGGTTACTTGACTGTATAGACATAGTAGGGCCTATAATTTTTTTTTAAGGCTAAATGCTGGATGGCGATGCTGATCATGAATATCTCTGTCAGTCTCAAATGTAAGCCTCCTACAGACCAAGGGCATAACTACCTTTTACAATTATTTATACACAAGAAAATTTCGAATATCTACATGGTCAGAGACTTTCAATTTCACAGTCACACCCAAATAAAAATTTTAACTATATGTTCTGCAGTGTAGGCCATTGTGAATAATTGGGAAATTACAATGTTATTTATTGATTACAGGTTTTATATCCTTATTGATAGTATCTAGAATATGGTGTGCTTCGGTAAGATGTCTTATTTAAATTATAAATACTTTTGCCTGTCCCAAAAACTGTGTAAGAATTCATAAAACATCTTCTCTTCTTCCACCATATAATGAAGAAATATATTTCATAGTCATACGCCAATAATGATTAAATAACAGAACACAATTTTACACCACTCCTAATATATAATATATAGATTTATTACACACTACGTTTCAACAATCTACATTTTCATCATCAAGTGAAGTGATAAGCCTATAATGATAGGCCAATAATGCTGTTAAATGTAGTGTATCTCATTAATTTGTCATCTTATTATTGTTGATAGTTGTCTATTTGTCTATTTTCTATGACTTATACTCTTTTTTTTCTAGATCCTTTGATCTTTAGAGTAGGTTATTATCCGATATACCTACAATTTTCGTGATACACCTCCGCCTTTTGCGATACACCTACATTTTTCTGATACACCTAGACTTTGATGAATTATATACTGCTGAGTATCTGAAAAGTCTAGGTTTGCCCCCAAAAATGGCAGGATGCAATAAAAACAACGGTTAATTAATAATCTTTATTAAAATTTATCATTTTCTTCATTGTCTGTCTTTAAGCATGGTGTTCTTTTTTCTGAAAATACAAAAATTGCATTGTAAACACAAAATATATGTACATAATATAAATTTGTGTAATTTCAATGTACTGTTACCACAACTTGGGAATCTTATTCGAGATTAACAGTATTAGAACTTAAAATGAACTAATTAGAGTCAAAATAATATTTTAAGTTTTCGATTGCATGTCATGTCACTTGCATTTGAATATCTTTTGGTTGATAGACATTTAAGGTTTGTGGATTTTACATATATACACACTTATTCCCTCTAAGAAATATCAAGTAAAAATGATTTTAAGAAAATCTGTAAAATTCATTTCTAAATTATAATTTTTTCATCTAAGGCCAGCAATACCTTGGACTTACAAAAAACAAAAAATTGTTGCCAGATTGCGATTATTTAAACATTGAAGTCGTGAATGACTATAAATAGCTTTAAAAAGCCCTTTATTTTGAAAACATTCCTCCTCTCCCTCCTCCTTTGACTGTTGCCCCTCCAACTCGAAAATTCTGCATGATGAAAATTGACCCTTGAAGACTACTAATGCCTACTAGAAATTATGGTTAAATTAGGTCTATACTCTATAACAGTTTTATAGTTTTCGACTGTTATGTCCTCCCACTTTTTAAACCTAATAAATGCAACTGTTAGAAGATAGTTTTTGTAATAACAATATATATATATATTTGAAATTACGAAAGCACAGGCCTAGGTGAATATTTCATAACCCTTCGCTCATTGTTATAGGATATTGCAAGAAGAAAGAAAATTGATTCCTCGTTGCAAATAAAAGATAAAGAAACTATACCAAAAGAAATAAAAGGTGGATTAAAGATGTTTATAGAATATTTTTTTTTATGATATATGTAGCTTCTGATCATCCATAGTGATAGCTGCCTGCATCTTCTGATAGAACTTTAAAATATTGTGCCATCCTGGCTCTGGTATGATAGTCTTCTCAAAGTAATTTCATAAGTAGCTCCATAATATTTGTGAAATTATTCAATTAAAGCATGTGTAATATCTATAAGGGCACCAAATTTGAAGAGGGGTGGTGAACTTTTAACTAATCCATTTGGATTAAATTTTAAAAAAAAGGTACTTCAAAGAGAGAGAAAGACAAATTGGCAGGAAATGGTGTGATTGCTCGTAAACACTCTACAAGGCACAATTCTTGACTGATTTCAACGAAACTTGGTTTGGTTGTTTGTAATCACCCAATGATGAACCCTATTGAAAATCAGAAAAATCGAAAAATATTTGGTATGAGTTATTGCCCTTGTTCTTGAAAAACTCATAAACACACTAGAAGGCAAAATTTTGATGAAACTTGGTATGAGTGTTAGTAATCACCCAAGGATGAACTCTATTGAAAATCAGAATAATCGAGAAATGAATTATTGCCCTTGTTCTAGAAAACTTTTAGCATGTAAACACTCTGACGAAACTTAGTGTTCGAGTGTTTATTATCATCCAAAGGATGAACCCTATCGAAAATCAGAAAAATCAAAAAATTATTAGTATGAGTTATTGCCCTTGTTCTTGAAAAAGCGTTTAATTTTTACCCCATAAACACTCTAGATGGCACAATTCTTGACAGATTTTGACAAAACTTGGTAATATTATACAGTATCGCCACAACGAGTTCCAAAGAAGTGTATGACTGACGGTTGAATATTTCATATTGCTAATTGTAACTGTAGCCAAATATTTTTATTCAAAATCAAAGCTGCTAGTTGGCGTATATTACCTTGCCTTGCAAGCTAACTTTTTCAGAGGCAGAAAATGGGTGGGTGCAAGAAAAAGAAGTTGTTCGAAAAGAAAATCTCAAACTTGAAAAGGCCACGAAATCCACTCCAGATTCAAAAGGTATGTTTGGAAATTTTAAGATTTCAACCAGGTAAAAAAGTTTTCATTAGGATACAGTTTCAAATAGTTTAACAAAAAAATTAAAAAGAAGGACTACTTACAATCAAATGATTAGTTTGTCTATTAAATTTTGAAAAGTGATACAGAATAAATCCTGGTAAAAAGCAAATATTTAAATGCCTATATCCATGTAAAGAATAATTGTTTTTATATGCCCACATTATCATGCTGTCATATATTGTTGTCCCCCCTATCGGTCCGTCCATCTGTCCACAATTGGCTTGTGAACGCTATAGAGACAACAGTTTTTGAATGAAATTTGGTGTGATCAATTAATGAGATCTTGGACAAGTTCGAACCTGACGATCTTTAGATAAACGGTTTTTGAGTTGTTGCCCTTGGCTTAGAAAAAAACGTGTCAAAATTTGGTTGTGAACACAATAGAGATTATAGTTTTCATCCAATTTAAATGAAATTTGGTGTGAATATTTGTAATGATGAGATCTTGCACAAATTCGAATGTGGCTATCTTTCGATGAACGCCGAACGCTTTTTGAGTTACAGCCCTTGACTAAGAAAAAACCCATCAAAATTTGTTTGTGAACACAAAAGAGACTACAGTTTTCATTCGATTTAAATGAAACTTAGTGTGGTCATTTATAGTGATGAGATCTTGGACAACTTCAAACTTGGCCATCTTTCCATGAACGGTTTTTGAGTTATTGCCCTTGATTTAGAAAAACGCATCAAAATTTGTTTGTGAACACAAAAGAGACTACAATTTTCACCGATTTAAATTAAATTTGGTGTGATCAATTATAATGATGAGATCTTAGACAAGTTCGAAATTGACGATCTTTCGATGAAATTTTTTGAGTTATTACCCTTGATTTATGAAAAATGCGTCAAAATTTGTTTGTGAACACAATAGAGACTACAGTTTTCCTTTGATTTAAATGAAATTTTGCTATGATCATTTATAATGATGAGATCTTAGTCAAGATTGAATTTGATGATTTTTCGATAAACAGAATTTGAGTTATTTCCCTTGACTTAGTAAAAATGCATCAAAATTTGTTGGCTTGTTAATGCGATGGAGGTGACAGTTTATGTCAGAATTTTATTAAACAATATGTGTTTAAATCAACATTTTGCAAAAATAAGATTTTTAGTATGATTTGACACAGATAGTTGACCGCCCTTGATATACTGAAAATGTATCAAGAAAGTTGGCGTATCTTGCTAGGCAACCACTCGTTTGTTCTTTTAGAGTCCAATGGTTCTTGGTATATTCTTTTAATAGTTAATGTTGCTGTTTGTGTAACATGTGTTGGAATCATCATAATTTCTATAGTGTAAGTTAAAATAATTTTGTTAGATTTTAATTAACCAGTGTACTTGTAACAATTTTTCAAATCTGCTCTAAAGTCATGTACTTATCTCAGGTTACTAACAATCTTACGTAGAATATAAAATCAAAATGAACAGCATGGCATCAAGAAGGGATGCTCTGTCATTCAGGTCTTATCTGTAAATAAATTTTTCTTTGAAGTTTCATCTTCACTCTGTAGATTTCTATTAAAGGGGTATTCCGCTTTTTTTTAAAATTTTCATTATCAAAAACATATTAAATTATACCTGAAAATATTTCCAAAGTATGCTATTTATGTCTATTTATCTATTTGATCCAACTGTATTTGTTTTAAAAGGGTTAATTAAAAACGGAGTGTACTACTAATTGTTTATTAAGTAGTATGACCTAGTTTTGGTGTTTGGCTTATAATGGCTCGATATTATTAGTTGAATCCTTTAGAATACGTAGGAGACATATTCATCATCAATCAGACGCTTATTTCGCTCAAAACTGTACAGTAGTTTTCTAACAGCTTTCAAAATGCATAACAAACATAAAAACCTTACGTAATGTTTAAATATTTAAAAAAACATGTGGTGTTTAAAAATTAACGGCTGGAATTTTTTTATTCTAAACTTTCAGATACGTTTTAGGGCACATTACTCTAGATTTTAATGTATAGTTTTCACAAATTTGAGCAAAACACATTTTTGACCTACAAAAAAATCGAGGTTTTGCATGAAATGACGAAAACGATTGGCAGATTTTATGTCATTTTTCAACAGTTTCGTTTTTTAGTGAGCTAAAAGATAAAACAAATTTGAATGTTTTGTAGAATTTATGATGCATGCAAGCAGAGCAAGAAATTAGAAAAAGAGAGCACTTCAAAGGTGAGTATAACAATGCTTTCCACCTGTGTATATATATAAAGTTAACGAATGGAGTCTTACATCCTACTCTTCTGCACCATGTGGGCTAATGAAGACCAGCACGCCACGTAGGGTACAATAAGGGAAATTTTGCCAGGGCAGCATTAGCTTCTTCTTTTCAAATGTCGCGGGATCTTTAACATGCACAGCCTGTAGCACACAGGCCTTTTTCCATATCAGCCTCTCTTGACAGGTTTAAATATCTGAAAGTAGCATCTATGCAAGGATTGAACCCAAGACCCTCAGGTTTGTGAGCAAGCGTCTAACTTACCGAGCCACCACAGCTCCCATATCTCAGACAAAATATTGGGCCATTAAAATGTAAAATAACGCCAAAAAAAAGTACATTTTTGACAGAACTTGTCTGCAAAACTTTAAGTCTCTGATTTAAAGTTTCAGGAATTGAGCAGAAGAAGCACTGACAAAATAAGAGGTTTACAGCAAAATAGATCGCCTTATTCCAAGACTCATGGTCAGTTAAAGACAGTTGAAGTCAAACCTCTTTTTAAAAAGTCTACAAACCCTGCTGTTAACGAAGGGGTAGCTCGGCATGACTCCAAATCATCAAGATCTAATTTACCATTAAAAGCTCAAAGAAGATCTACAGCAAAAGAAACTAGTCCACTGTGGAGAAAGGCTCGCCAATTGCCATCAAAAAAGTATAATGCATCTCAAACAGAAACCCTCGCTCCATCGAACACATCAGAAGTAAATGAGATAACTCTATCAGGATATACCACAGAGTTTGAATCATCACCAACTAGAACACAGAGTAAATCTCATGGAAGTCAGTCGGTAACACGTGAGGGTGGTAAACCTAGACATTCTGATACACAAAAAAGATCAGCAAGACGAACACCAAGAGAACAGGGAAGGTCGACTACTGCATTGCCATCTGATTCAGTCAGAACAGTCAGTGGATCAAATCTCTTATTATCAAAATCCTTAACAGACCCTGGTTCAACGCCTAGAAAGACCCAACTCTCACCAAAGAAGACTGATGAATCACTTATAAAAGAACTCAGTCCGTCAGTATATGCCAATGGAATTCAGGAGTCGGACGCAAGAAGCAGTGTATCAGACATATCAGCATCAAGAAAGAAAAGTACATCAAAAGATAGACAGGTAGAAAAAACGCTCAGAAATGCAACAAATATGCATGAATCACCAACACAACAAACTTCAAAAAAAGTAAAGCCTGAAAAACTGTCAAAATCACAAAAGTCATGCGATGGTAACGATCAATCAAAAGATATTTCTTCATCAACTCAACCAACACACCCAGGTCAACCAACATCACATTCTCACACTCAACAACAAAATTATTCTTCGTCTGTTCCGCCACCGCCTCCAATTCCAGATTTTCATACTCAGTCTCAAGAAGCCAAGCAACCTGGATTAGAATCTAATTCAAAACGTCCCTTGGATTTTAATCAAAGTATCAAGGCTGGTGTCAAATTAAAACCAGTCACAGAACCTGAACCAGACACTTATTTTGGCAGCCCTCCCGATTTCCTTAAAAGTATCCAAGCAGGAGTCAAATTAAAACCAGCCACAGAACCTGGACCAGAAACTATTTCTGACGGCCCTCCTGATTTCCTTAAAAGTATCCAAGCAGGAGTCAAATTAAAACCAGCCACAGAACCTGGACCAGGAACTATTTCTGACGGCCCTCCTGATTTCCTTAAAAGTATCCAAGCAGGAGTCAAATTAAAACCTGGACCAGAAACTATTTCTGACAGCCCTCCCGATTTTCTTAAAAGTATCCAAGCAGGAGTCAAATTAAAACCAGCCACAGAACCTGGACCAGAAACTATTTCTGACGGCCCTCCTGATTTCCTTAAGAGTATCCAAACAGGAGTCAAATTAAAACCAGCCACAGAACCTGGACCAGAAACTATTTCTGACGGCCCTCCCGATTTCCTTAAGAGTATCCAGGCAGGAGTCAAATTAAAACCAGCCACAGAACCTGGACCAGGAACTATTTCTGACAGCCCTCCAAATTTCCTTAAAAGTATCCAAACAGGAGTCAAATTAAAATCAGCCACAGAACCTGGACCAGGAACTATTTCTGACGGCCCTCCCGATTTCCTTAAGAGTATCCAGGCAGGAGTCAAATTAAAACCAGCCACAGAACCTGGACCAGAAACTATTTCTGACGGCCCTCCCGATTTCCTTAAGAGTATCCAGGCAGGAGTCAAATTAAAATCAGTCACAGAACCTGGACCAGAAACCATTTCTGACAGTCCTCCTAATTTCCTTAAGAGTATCCAGGCAGGAGTCAATTTAAAACCAGTAGTGGTGTCTGAATCAACATCTAAAGGAGGTTCTGACATTTTCCAAAGCATCAAAGCGGGTCGCACCTTAAAACCTGTGGCTGACAGATCCCTGAGATCAAAACCTATGGATCATGGAGATCTCCTATCTCAAGCTGTTTTAAAGCCAAATCTTAAAAGCGTAAAGGATCGGAAAATACAACAACCATCTGTACAGGAAGAAACTTTTTCCGATATCATAAAGGGATTTAAATTCAGAAAAACCTCCAACAAAGTATCCAATTAAAGAGGTTTCTGAAAGATAGTAGACGACAGTCACAAGATCTTAAACGTGAGTTAAACTTGAGTTACAAGAAACGTCAGTAGATAAATTGATACAGATTGTGAATGGAGAAATAAAGAAAACATAAAAAGAAACGAAAATGTTCAAGTCAAGTGTTGATGAAGTGCGCCAGAGACAGAAAATAACCCTACAAATATTGGAATCTGCAAAAAATAATAATCCAAACAATAGGGGCTGTGTGAAAAGTGAAAACTGATTGTTCTGATAGGCAATAAAATGAGGCCTTTGCACATTAAAGATCCCTCATCAGATGGAAATTAAATTAATGATTGAAGGCTGAACAACCAGGCAATTTTTAGTTCATATGGAAATTAAGTTCTGATATTATTGTAAAGTACTGTTTTGTAATTTATCAAGCTTCTGGTAGATTTTTCAACAGCAACTGTCTAGAGTAGAGTCAGTTTAAATTTTAATTGAACACTAAAACACTTAAAACTCATAAGACTGGCTGTATATTCTGCTATATTCATATGGAAATGAAATAAAATAACATGTAAAATAGATAACTAGTTATGTACACACAGGCTGATTTATTTGCATTATCAGTGAATCAATTAAGCATCATTTACAATATTTTCAGCATGCATCTTTACATATCACCTTTCAAATCTTAACATGTGGGCATCAATCAAGTTGCAAAGCTTTTATTACACTTAAAATGTAGGTATATTAAGTATTTATCAATTACAAAAAGGAAACAATTTAAAGTGGCTGTGTGGGCTAACTTCAATAATAACACAGGTTTATTACACTATGAGGTCAGTCTAATTAAAATTAGACCAAACTTTCATTCCAGTTGTTATCAACTTTTATTTTTATTGTAGCCACTTCAGTTAAGGTCTAACGACAGTCCTCTTGAAATTTCCTCAAATTATTCTTCTGACCTAACTCGTTATCGTCTGCTAATGATAATGAAAGAATGGTCCAATTTTAATGAGACGCTTATGAGGTCAACTTTGGCTTTCCATTAACATCAATTGTAATCCTTATTTTATAAACTTTATGAAAATTACATAAATTCTGTTGCTTATTTTGAAACAAAGTTCCAAGTTTTAAAATGTCAAATCATCAGTCTCATCCTGCAAACCATGATTAAAATATTGAGAACTATGACTTGTATATTAGCTTGGTCAGTCATTTGAAGTCCTATGAAGTACTCTGATGTTGATAAATGAAAGTTGTCTGTCTTTGAAAGCTATTTCAGGACTCCCTAACAAGATTACTTAGCACTTCCCTTTTCTTCAAAAAAAAAAAAAAACAGGCCAAATAAAGGGAGGAAAATGTAGCTGATCTACATGTCTTACTGTATGTTGCACATGGAAATAACTTATTCTTGGAGAAGACATTTTTAAACACACTAGTGATTTGAATGTTGAATTCTGATAGGAATTCTGTCACTGAATAATGCATACAGTATTAGGCACATATACAAATTATTTCATTTTTCACAAAAAGTAGATTTTATAATGAAAACTACTAAAGTTCTTTAAATAACTGATTAAATAACAAGTGAAGCACTAAAATCATAAATTATGCAAATAAATTAAAAGATAACATGATTTATAAGAATATTCCAGAGTTCAAATTCCAGATCCACAATATCAATATAGTTGAAGTATGTATACTATGAAGATCAGATAAAACAGAAAACACTTATGACCCATACTTAATTAAACTAATTACAGTAGCAGACTTTTGACTTTTGATTTGGCAATGTCATATAGATCTGATTTTAGTAATAATAAAAAAATGTTGTAAATATATGTTATTAATATTTTTAATGTATAGAATTCCAAATTTGGTAAGGAACTGCATTACTTACAGAAAAAACAATTTCTTAATCTCGCAAAATTACCAAAAATTTATTGTTCATAATGAAGTTAACATGCTCAAAATCAAAGCAAAAGCATTTAAAAATCAATAGTTCATTTGTCGTAAAAATTCTGCTGAAACCTAAAATAGTTATTAATTTAAGATTTTAAAGAGATCTGATATTGATGTATCATAAAGCATTGTAGAAAATTTGAAGCAAATTGTGTGATCCAATGCTTTTCCGTTTGAATCTACCATTTCCTCAACTTTAAAGTCAAACTAACTTGAAGCTATATTTAGGATTTCAATATGTATACATATCTACATTTATTTTTATGTAAATTACAAGTTGGATCAATTTGCACCATTTCAATTTTCAATCAGACGTCTGTGATTCCTGTACTTTTATGATGTCACTAATCATGAAGGGCCTTATGTGATAAAGCTTAATTTGCGATTGGTCAAACAGATTTTTTGTGGAATTTGTCTGACTAAAAATTGGAATGGTGCAAATTGATGTTATCAGTGTCCCCTTGATACACATAAAATATTTTAGAAAACCTCTTTACAATCCCTTTTAGTGAACAGAACATGTTGCTATCATTATCTAATTAACCAAATAATTCTTATAAATCTGTACAGAGTAATGTTGTCATAAAAGGTTGTAAATAGAATGAAGTAAGAAATATGAATATTAACAATAATAAATGAATAGTAAATGAGAAAAGCCAAAATATACACAAATACAATTAACTTGCTGTATATGTATAATATATACAGTGAAAACAGTTGATATCTATACATTTTATTCCAAGAAATTATAATGAATATTAAAAAAGAAACAGTTTTGAATTCTAAAATCCATTCCAATGAAATAGGATGCTAAAATCAATTCGGCAAAATAATGTCAATAATAAATACTTGAATTAATTTCAGGATTTGATTCCAGTTCCAAATAATGCAAATTTTAAAAAGGAAAACCATGCTAAAGAAATCTTAGAACATCATCAATCATATATAATTACAAAATGAAGTATTGAACTATAAATATGTTGTATATAACCCTACCGCACTGTATTAAGCTATATACTTCAAAAATTGTAGTTTATTTAGGTGTAATATAACTAGAAAGAAAATAAGATGGCGTAGTTTTGGTAGATTTTTAGAATAAGACATTTGTTTCTGCTACTAGCACATGGCCAAAGCTTTTTTCCAACAAAAATTCATAAATAGTTAAAAACAAATTATATTTCTCTAAAATATTCTTTAAAAAGAGCATGGAATCTTGTTTTTTAAAGAAAGACGCAATATTTCAATGGTAATGCATGATATATTAGAATTGTAAAACTATTTGAAAAATGGAAACCGTTTTTTAGCCTTAGCCTTTTGAAGACTCTCCTTAAATATTTGTAGTTTTAGTTTGATTTTAGCCGAATAATTTACATAGTTAATATTGTTATATGTTTCTATATAATAAAGTATAAGGAATTAGATTCCTAGCTGATTTTATCAACTATCTATGTTGAATTTAAATGGAAGCATTAAGACTGATGCTTGAAGATGATTATCAAAATCAAAATTTTCATCAAACATGAGCATAATTCAAAGCCGCAGTAAATGTACAACATTACAAGAGTTAAGATCATGGCTGCTCTTTGCCATGCATTTCATTCACTTTAAATTTTTTACCAAGGTTTATCACAAGTATCTAAAAAATCATGACCAGTACCATTTAGCTTAAAACTCAAGATATTACGTTTCATATATTTTCTGCAAGTTACTTCACTCATGCAAATATTTGAAAAGCATGTATACAAACTTAACCTATAAAATGACCAGTTTAAAAGATTGAGAAGTTTGAGAACGATATTGTCAGATCTAGATTGAGTGAAGTAAACACAAAATAAATATCTAAATTGGTATTTTAATCAAATGATATAAAGTTAAGAGCCCTATTTAAAAAATGATGAAAAAAAATTATACAATAACAACGAATAGGAAAACAAACATAAACAAAGCACTTTCAGATATTATCACTTAATATTCATAACAAAAACAATCTGATTCTCATTATTACAACTCATCATCGGACTTAAATATTACTTTAACAAGTTACATTCAAATTACTATCTGCTTTAAATAACAGCTCATTATCTTACCTAAAAACAAAAAATTAAACTCATCAAGTAATTAAATAGCCTATGATTGCTTGCATTAAAGGGATTGTAACTGGTTTTCTATATATGGGTATTAGGGCCATTGACAGCATCTATTTGTACAATTACAGTTTTCAATCAGAAGTCTGGGGTTCTTGCAATTCCACTATTTCTAAGTGTTTAATGACGTCATTAATGCAAAAACTGCCCTATATGCTTAGTTTAAGTGGAATTGTAATAACCACAGACGGCTTGATTGAAAATTGTAAAGGTTCAAATTGGTAATAACAATATCTCCTATTATAGACATAAAATAATTAGAAAACCTATTTACAATCCCTTTTATTTCAGTACACAATATTTTCATTACCAAAATTTTAATAACTATTTTGTCAATATTACTGTTGACATATAAGACAAAAAGTTCAATGTCTTGATTGATTTTATATTTTTTGATATGAGAGATTTTTGAAGTTATACCAATGATCAAATATATTTAATGCATGGCCAATAGAAATAAAAAAAATTCTATTAGCTAGTTCACAAGCTTTGAACAAACTGTATCTGTTTCTACTTTTTTATTCATCTCTGAATAAATTTATTAAATTTTATATCAAAGTGGACAGAAGTCATATAAAAAATTGTCAACATTGTGCTAAATTTGTAATGTGTTTAAAGGGAAATAAACATGTGTAAGACTTTCTTCCTGTAAAATGGATAAAAATGAAAAATCAGCGATACAACAATTAATTGACTATTTAAAGGAGCATGACCACATAATAATATACTAACCACTCTACATTAACTCATCTCTCTTCAGTCACATATCTAATTTTATAGTTGTCTATACACAATCAATCTACAGCTAACAGAGATCAATTTTCATTACAAAGAATAATTTTCAGAATGAGAATTTCTATGGAATTCCACAAACTTTCTTTGTTTTCCAACTGATGGGAGCTCAGTTTCCAATACCTCAAAAACTTTGACAGTGTCTGCACGAGTTGAGAGGAAAAATTCTTTAATTTTGCACATCTTTGGTGCTTGAATTTCTTTTTATTATTTCAATATTCTAGGTCAAAATAATAGTAATTTGCTTAAAGGGACAGATGCGCCATTTCTTTTGACCAATCATACTTTAGTCTCAGAAACGGAAATTTGCTTAGCCAATCAGTAATAGTGTTCACAGTTCATTGTCCAAATTTAAGCCTTTAAATCCATTTATGTCCAGAAATATCCACCTTTCAATGAAGAATCCTCGTTAAGATACTCTGTGATATATAGAAAAGACATATGTATATAGAAATAACAATTTTTGTACATGTCTAGTACTTTTGAAGACTATTTACATATATTCAAGACTAAAATCAACTTCCAAATGGGGCACCGGTCCCCAGTCCCTTTAACATCTAAAGCCTTTAAATGATCATGAAATCAGTGTTCTCAATTCAGCAGCCCATCACCACACTAATATCAGTGATCAAGCTCCAATAAAATATGATTTAATCTCTAAAGCTAAATTATAACTAAATTAGTATTATCAGTGTTTTTCTGGTCTGAACTTGTAAAAGTCTTTAACTGATGAAAACTGGTGCTTGTCTTTGGCAGTTGTTTAACACAAGAATTATTTTGTACAATGTCACTTTGAAACATAAGCCTATCATCATAAAGTGAAAATCTTGACTTGTTAACTAGTACTGGTGTTTTAACTCTCCGTTTTATCTTATCACTAGAGTTAGTGTTTTTGTGGTCCTTGTGGACCATATTTGGTGCTGATCGTCGAATCGTGTCCCCATCACTATTGACAGGCGATTCTGATGAATCTTTCAATGATAAAGATGTTGGTCGTCTGCTCTGACCATCAGCTGAATTACCAATCACAGTCTCTTGTAATTTAGACTTTTTAGCGGGACTCAGATCTGATGTACTTTTAGATTGTACTCCATTTTTTACCCTTAATACAGAAGATTGTGGGTCATTTGACTGATGCAACTTGGCAACCCCAACTTCAGCAAATCCTAGCCTATTTTCAATATAAGATGGGGAAATATTGTCATGATCTGTAGTGCACTGATTTCCCATGACCTGCAAGGCGAGATTAGTAGGTCTTGTATGTGTTTGACCATTTTGTAAATAAACTTCTGTTTGACGGTGTAAATTGCTGTGATTTTCTTCAGGTGGATTTAAAGGACTGGTTTCATCAACTAACACATTATGATTTGCTTGTGGTCTACAATTAGACGATGTCTCTCCTTTATTCACTTTATAATTTTTGCCAAACAAATTAAACTGGCTTAGTTTCAATCCTATAACTTGTGGTTTAATAAATTTGCCAAGTTTTTCACGAAACGATTTACTGTCACCTGACTTCTGGAAGTTTGAGACTCCATTACCAGGTACATTAGCCACTTTCGGACGAGCAGAAATTGGTTCACCATGAACTTGATTCTGTACATAAGGAATTGGGGGATTTCTATGTTGATTTAACACATCGTTTTGAACTAAAGATGTTTCTAGATTATCACCGACAGATTCAAAGAGATTCTCCTGCAATGAGGTTGTGTCGTCACTACTTTCACCGACACCATTATTAACTAATCTATTACCACTAACAGCTAACTCTTCATCACTACGCTTATGAGTATTCCTAGCAACCACTTGATTTCGACCTTGATTGGGTTTCATAGCAGCACTGTTTCTGGCTTGAGTGATATTGTTAGTTTTTAATGGTGGTGCTGGTGGTTTAGGTGTATTATCACTATCAACAGGTGTAATAGGTATGACAGATTCAGTGGTTGAACCACTCATATCTTGATACCAGTTGTAATTATGGCTACTATTAGAAAGATCATTTCGGTCAATATGTGACAATAATGGAATGGTTGAGTCTGGTGGACTATTGATTTGATTTTCACTAGATTGGGTGTCTGCTTCATTTATGGTATGATTAGGTATAGAGTTGACTGTTTGTTTTTCTAACTGGTGTATAGTCTGGTTTATTGTGGGTGTCATACCTATAATTACAAAGTTATTCATATTTTTCAATTCTGAACTTATGAAGATCAAAGGGAGATAATGTCAAAATATAAAATGTATACTACAGAATGCAGAAAGCTAAGGCATTTTTACGCACTTAAATCTGACTCGATTACCCTAATCAGAATGACGTCACAAATCGAATCTGATTTATACTGCAGGATAAATGAACATTATACTATTTATAGTTTACAAGATGGCCGCAAGGCAGGAAGAAATTACCGTGCACGTAATGGTTTTGACATGTTGGACGCCATTACTAATGCGGAAGTTAACAGAGCAACGACGCTCCAAAGTTGATTTACTCGATTAACGTATATCGATTTGATTTGCTGCTACAATAAATGCGCTGATTACCATAATCAAATTTGATTTGATACAGGATAAATGGTTTTTAGACCAAATCGAATCAGATTAACCCAGGATAAATTCGACTCTTCTGTAATGTTTATAATCACACATCATCATTTTGGTAGATTAAAACTAAAAGGGAGATAATTCTCAAAAGCAAAATTAAAAAATATTCTCGCATATTCAGAATTCCGGGTATAGGCTTCTTAACATTCCTCCCAATAAAAATCATTCTAAGATCATTTATCATGTAGGCCTATCATTTGAATTACAACACATTCACCCTTCTTCTTACCAAACTACCTTAATTCTTGTAATTTTAACAGACTGTTGTAATGCAAAGTATAACATTGTAATGAAAACAAGTTGGATTCCCTTTGCCAAAAATCAGATTCTAGGATCAAGAAGGATGTAACTCACCTCTGTGTTTTGAATCTTGAGCCCACATCATGATCATATCACTTAACCTTTCCTCAACACACAGTACAGTTAATCTAGCATCTGCATCAGCATCCCAACAATCATCCATAGTCTCACGTAGAGATCTTACAGCCTACAGAGTAACAAATCATATCAACTTTTATAATCTATAGAGCAATAAGATATGAAACAGTCTGTCACTTTCAAGGTAGTTTGTAGTCTACTGGGTTTGAATATCCCTCAGGGCTATGAAATATTCTCATGTCATATTTTATGCTTTCCACTGCTTTTTTGAATTCTCAGTGGCTTAGGGCAGATTGAGCCAAACAATAAAATAGCTTGTAAATTTCCTTCCAAATAATTGTATCAACCAAAGTTGAAATAAGAGAATAAGTCAGCCTAACCTGATTGGTATCTTTCCAAATTTCAGAGAATTTAGGTCTGGTTTTATTTCTGCATACTAAAAGTTGTAGTTGTTCGAATGTAGGATGTATGCCAGCTTCTGCCTGGTATGGTAACATGTAGTCTGGAACTGGGGCACCTACAACATAGATACATATAAACTTAGCTTTCAGTCAAAATATTCCCCTCTACCTTTTTAACAGTATCTACTGGCCACAAATATAAGCTTATATAAGTTTTCAGTTTTGGGAGATCAGATCAGATCCCTTTCATAAAATTTAAACTTTTGCTGGATAACATTTGTCAACATAAGCTAACAGGATGTCAAATTAAAGAACCTTTTTTCCAAAATTACAGAAAAAGAAACACTATTACCTTGATACAGATCTATACATCTAGTTGCTACCTCCCATAACACCAAACCAAGTGCATAAATATCTATTTGTTTTAATGAGGCTTCACAATCTCGTAAATTGACAGCACCATCTAGTAGTTCTGGAGCCATATAACGTAATGTTCCAACCTAAAGAATACATAATGAATTATACAGATTTAATTCATCGATCAAGAAATTTATGCCATCAAGGGGTGTAAATATATAAGCCTAACAAACAAACCATGCATATTTGTTCATTTATAGGTAATAAAAACACAATTGACATAAATAAATCCTAGTTTTCTGCACCAGATTTAGCTAATGCTGACAAACAACAAACAAACAAACAAAGTGCAATAAAGAGAAGTTTGCAAGCCAGCCCAATAGCATCCTTATTGAACTTGTCTGATGCTACCACTACATGTTTTGGATATAAAGGCCTAATCAGAACATCTTATTTGGGAAATAGAGATCAACTTTTCAATATTGTATGCAGATATTATTGGTTGAATCCTCTCTTGACTCTTGCAGATTTGTAATCATTCTGAAGGTGGTAAATATCATCTACTTACATCCGTTAAAGAAGTCTGTTCAGCATTTTCAGAATGGCCATTACGGATTAATTTAGAGCCCATAGCAGACATACTAAATCCTAAGTCAGCTACGACACAGGACAGATCAGATCTTACTAGAATATTTCTACTATTAAAATCACGATGGGCTACTGCTGGTTTAAATTGATCTGTAAATGAAAAAATAAATCAATGTACAGCCATTTTTTGAAAGCAAGTTTCCATGACAATAAAAATGGTTGAGATTTTCTAGATTCTAAATTATATTGTCTTCCCGCTATGGCCCAGCTGGGTTGACAAAAGTAATTAGGAAAGCTGACTTGTTCAAGGTCACCAGACTTTTATATCTAAAATATATCCCTTTTTTATCAATTTCATATTAGCAATGTTTTTAATAGAATTGAATCAGATATTTTACATGTTCCTTTTTAAGTTTATAAATTTAAAAGAACACACCGTCTTACTAAAAAAGACTTAAATATCTTTTTTATATATATGTTGATTTTTTAATGACTGTTTCCAGACTTTGTTGTCTATTAAATCAATTATGATAACAGTACTTTATGATTTGAGAATATCTTGTGCCAAGATTCAGACAATTTATGAGTGATTATATCAATTAAGTAAGATTATCCATAATCTCAAGAAATATATCCTAGATCACAATATCTCATTATTTTGCTAAAGCCTAGTAACACTTCAGTCTGAAAAAGCTCACAAAAAAAATATTTTCCTTGATATCAAAAGTGTCTTTTAAAGCGATTATAAAAAGGTTTTCTAAAATATTTATGTGTATCAGGGACACTGATAGCACCATTCCAATTTTCACTATTCCATCAGACGTCTGTGGTTCCTGCAATTCGACAAAAAATAAGTGTTTGATGAAGTCACTTATCGCAAACATGCTTGTAACACAAGGCCTTCGAGATTAGTGACTTCATCAAACACTTAGTTTTAGTCGAATTGCAGGAACCATCAGTATCCTGAAAAAATATAGAAAACCTCTTTACAATTCCTTTAAGCCAAATTTGACATTACTATTTCCATCTACAATGTTCAGTTAATGTTCAAATTTTTTTAGTTGATTTCGAGGTGAAGAAATTATCAGTTTATTCTTGTTTGGAAATCCGCTTTCAACTCTGGCACCAATTCTGACTAGTTTTGTTCATTTCCTGAGCATTGCTTGTTTAAGGAGACAACCATTTATAGAAACATTGACATTCTGAATGCTTTTGTCAAATTCAAGTTGTTAATCAAATTGTTCTTGACTAGGAATAATGTTTACTACTTTCAAAAAGACTTTTAATTGACAAACAACACAATTCACTAAAGAGATCTATCATCTTAATATATACATAAATGAAACGCAATGGCTATTTGCACCTTCACGGCGAATATTGTCTTTAATTTCCAACTTTTCCATTGTTAGCCGCCAATAGGAGAGCTTCATTACTGTTGTGCATGGGCAATGAATTGTTTCCCTGTTTCTGCGCTACTTTTTTCTGGACAGTGAAGCAATTTTGATCGTGATTTTTTTAGGGTTAGGTAGTGGTGGTCATATGTTGTACCACCATGGTGCGAATAGCCATGACCTTAATGAAAATGTAGCTGCACAAATTTTATATATAAGTTTTTACATGGGAAAATGAATTTTATCATAACCTATTTTTTTCACTGAACATTATAAATTGGCTGATGACATGCAGTTTATTTTAACAATAGAAGGCAGGTGACTAATGGCTTTTATAAACTCTAGAAAATAACAAGTGTCAAACTCTATTTAAAAAACAATATAAATGTGATTACCTCCTTTTGTGATGTCATTATGTAAATGAGCTAAACCTCGGGTAAATGAGATACACATTTTACATAAGGTGGACCAGTCAACTGTATTATGTTTTAAATAGCTAAATAACGAGCCAGTTGGAATGTAAGTTAAAATCAACATATACTGCATATTGCCGTCCTGGGACAACCGTTCATCAGATCCATAAAATTGTAGCAGACTATCATGTTCCATAAAAGGCAAAGAATAGATGTTCTTCTCATTAGTAAAGTGTTGTTTATAGTTAGCAGAATATATCTTCACTGCAACTTCTTGATCATTCAACAATCCCTTCCATACTTCACTGTAGCGCCCTCTGTTTAAAACAGACGACAACTTTAAATCCTCTAGTGTAAAATTTGGTGGTGGTGCTGATTCCATGATATTTAGCGAGTCCATGGAGACTCGTTTAGACGTAACAAGCACACGATACAAAAAGTAAACAATAACAGTAACAACGGCAACAGAACAGACAGATACTAAAGATATGATGATAGTTCTTTCTCTGTAATGCTGGTCAAACTCTGGAATTACTGAAATATAATTAACCAATGGTAAGGTTCAAAGACATATTCTAAATTTTATGCTGCAATTCTGATAAAGGTGAGAATATGTAGGATCAACCACTGCTCAAGGTACCATAAAAAAAAGACATGATATTTTGCAGGATTATATGATCCAGCAATGACATATGATATTCCAGCTATAAAATCAAGAACTGGCAACCATTTTTCATCAAGAATAGATTTACATTAAGCAAAAGATTATGAAATTTTTTTTAAAAGACGGCAACAATACGACACTACAACTTGGGCTAGTACAAATGATCAAAAAACTGACACCATATAACTGTTTTCAGTTGCTTCCAGCAAATGATCAAACTTTAACAAATGAGCTAGTTTGTTTAGATTGTAAAGATTATCATAATACTCAGCTATCAGAACGCATGATTTTGGAAAACATCTGATGTTCTGAAACTGTTGTGAAAAAGATATAAATATATGTACCTGGTATGGCTGTAGTATGGAGACTAGGAATATAAATATCTGTCATATTTTCATTACAAAGATGACCTGTACAGCAACAGAACTTAGATTGTTGGGAACTGTTGGTAGTTGGTATTGGTTTGGGTGCTGTTTCTGATAAACAGTTGTTGCTGGTACATACATCTCCTCCTATCCAACATCCTACAAAACATAAAATATACATATAAGTTTAATTTTAAACCAAGATATAACAAGTTTTTTTTTGTATAATATGACTTCAATATGAGCTTTTGTCATTTACTTTTTAACAAGGTTTTTTCGAACTAGCTGTAAATAAGACCAAGAAGTTTGGACATGGTCATTATGATATATATATAATCTGTTCTTAGCCTCCATCATGTACTGGAACTTATTGCCATAGTTCTCCAAAACAAATATCAATATTTCCTCAAAACTTTTTAATTATCATTGATATAATTTATAAATCAGATCAATTTGTCGATGCTGGCACATGTTTTCAACTTTTTTGAGCTACTTGCAATAACTTGGCAAAATCTGTATCATCATTTGTGTCAAAAGTGTCCAGTCTATTCACAAACAATTCATGATCAAATTCCCCGTATCACAAAATATAAAATGCCACCTGCATATCCAAGTTGAAATTTGATTCCAACAAAAGACAGAAGAGGTGAAGAGAGGTGCTAGTTTGTGAACCATGCACAATTATCACTAGCAGAAGTCAAAAGAAATAACAAGTGGTATACAGACAATAAGATAAAAGTGATTAAACTAAGAATGCAGACATTTCTCAAAATCATTACACAATTTTAAAAAGATAGTTAAATAGTTTAATAGTCTATAAATAAAATGTGTCTGCCATTTTTCTATGATTATAGAAAGTGAAATACAATACATGAAGATAAAAAAATATATAAGACATTATGGAGCCAGTGTATGAACATATTCCACCTGTATATAATAAACACAAACATAACTTGCATCTCTTCAATAAGAAATTGAATGATAATTTTTCAGTGCCAATGAATAGGATAGTGTTTAAGAGCTACTCAAGTAGACTAATGAAGATAAACAACATCTTGCATTGAACAAGGAGGCAAATTTCATATCTTTCACTTAAAATCTTATATTCAAAGTTTTCAATTCTTTTAACCTCAAGATTTAATAGTTTCAAATAATCTCATGAGAAACTTTAGATCTAACAGATACAGCCGATGTGGTAATGAACGAAAATAAATTAAACTCTATCATCTGGTTATCAACAGTAGCAATCAAATAGCTATATTCTTTTTATTTAACATGGTATTATACAGCTTGCCTAAAATAATCTTTTAATATCATAAGAACACAAGATCATCCAAATACCATTTAAAAATGTTGACCCATAGAGCTAAAGTTCATGTATTGCCTCATTGAGACTAGAGAAATTGCAGGGACCTAGGCTTGTATATTTGTTATACGTAACATTCATTATAATATTCATAAACATATCATCCAAATCTGACCTCACCCAACCGGAGATATATTTTGATGTTTGGGCTCAGAGAAGATAGGGAAATCCCATGCCACTATAAAGACTGATATAGTATATATATAAACATAATCATATAATATACCATTAAAATCTGACCAAAACTTTCTGACTAATATTGATCTAAATTTTGATGTATTGGCTCAGTGAGTGAAGACATCCTCCCAGATTCATTGAGTAAGGGACTATCAGTATACCTATATAACTGCAGACAATACTGTTTCTGCCTTCTGGAAGCATATACATGTACAAAAGGAACATCTTTTATCTTCCAATCTGACATAAGATTAGGATGAACTGAAGACAATTTGACCTCACATTTACAGCTCTAACATTATTTACACATAGACTACCTTAACCACATTATCATACACACTGAATCATATAAACTCTACATTCCCAGAACATTTTATTAATGGGTGTCAAACAAGTGGAACTGGTTTGCAAGATAAGCAGAAGTATAAATTTCTATCAGTTTTTTATGTCAATTTTTGCTTCATCTTTGTTGACAGACGTAAGAAAAAAGGCAACGCAGTCTAAATAATATTTACATTGAGTCTCACAAGTTGTGATAAGTCTAGCAATAACTTCACCATTTTTTATATCAAACAATGAAGTCTTTGAGAGAGGCTGGAATCAACTTGTCAGTTATGGTTTTATCGAGTGATAATCAGTCAAAACAAATTTACTGAATCATATCAAGTTATTTTCATAAGCAGCGTGTTACCCGTTGGAAAAGTTGAAAATGTTATCTCTATTCCTCAACAGAATAACTTCCATGCTACATTGACATTATACACCGTGTAGATTGTATGTTCAAATTATATTATATAATGTAAATAAACATTAAGTGTGAAACAACAAATCTTATTTTCAAATGATTTCTGCAGATGAATTGAGTTTAGAGATGAGAAATGTTGGATATTTATTTAAGTAAATAAAAGATAACAGTGATATAGATATATTCAATATTTTCATTTTTCTTTGACCATATTTGTGTAATGCAATAAACAGTAAACAATCAAATTCACGATGAGGATGGCGTTGATTCACAATATTTAACATCTGTAGTTTGAATTTTTTACAGCTGAACATTTCAGATTGATAATTTTTAAATAATTTTCATCAAAAACATCAGATTAGGTGAAATGTACACAAATATGACTCATTTTAATAAGTTCTAGCCAACTAGATATTTTTTTCCTTTAGCTGCTTTTAGAGCTCTATCTAACATAAACCTTAAATGGAAACTGTACAACATTAAAGGGATGCAAAACAGATTTTTCCAACCGTCAGCTTCTATCTCTACTGGTCTGATATTTAAATCAAATGTTCAACCATAAACCCCTGACCATATATTTAGATCACTAGGCAAAAAAACAAATTTTCAAAGTAAACAGTATTTAATATGATAGTGATGTCATAATCTAGGCTAGTTTAATATCTGTTACATAAAACACTGCGATTCAACAACATATACCCCACTGTGTTAGACAGACCTTTATAGTTTATTTAAAGTGTAATAGCAATTAGTCATGATATTTTGTCTGTAATATTGTTATTCTTTATGTCTAGTTTGAAGTGTAATAATGGCATGTATTTTAACACCACTAACTTTTAGAAATTAAATATTCATAGATTGAACTGATAAACATGTCATAATAGTGTTTTTTAAGTATGAGTATGAGAACCACTTCAAAGTGCAACTTATAATTTCTACACAAAAACTCTTTCATAATCTGATATTTTATAATTTCTTTGTTATAATGATGTTGAAAATAGGTGCATAAATTGACACTGGTTCTTTAAAGGGATTATATAAAGAGGTTTTCTAGTTTTTTATGTGCATGGGGGTTATTAATGGCTTCTTGCATTACTCCAATTTTCCATCAGATAACTGCCATTCCCGTAATTATAATAATACCATACCGACTGAAATTTGGAATGGTGAAAATTGATACTATCATTGTTGCCAATACACTAAATAAGTTTACAATTCCTTAGTCTCAATATTTCTCACTAATTGACATAATTCTTATTATAAGCTGATGTGTTTAAAATGGCATTCCTAGATTGCTTTTCATACTCAGTATTGATCAGCTAGTTAAAGGGACAGATGCGCTAGTTTTGAGCAATCATACCTCAACTCAATCAGTATTAGGAGTAACAGTTCGAGATATTTTTAAAGAATTATGCCATTTTCGAACCTTTCTAGACTATTTTCATAAGTTTATTTGAGACTCAAATCAACCCCTCAAAATGGTGCATCTGTCCCTTTGAGGTCATCATAGAAATTTTGATTTAGTTTTTAATTTAAAGTTTTCCATAACTGAATTTTGCACAATTAGTTCCTATGCATATGCATATGGACTATATAATGATTCAGTGAATGGTATTTATAAAAAGTAACTTTAAATTCAAACAAATTTATATTGATACAAAATAGTTTTGACTTTTGGCAACTGAATGATATCCAAAAATAATTATGTCAATTACAAACTAATTAGAAATCAAACTCATAGTAGGGTGAATACAGTAATTAAAGGGCTATTCCCATTCTGATTTCAAGAAATTCTTGTCAAACAAGAATAGCTGTTATAAGTTACGAACATAACTCTCATGCAACTGAGTTGAAAGTTGCAATCACTCATAATCGCTATTCTTATTCGCGTCCATATGCAATAGTGTGAAGGCACCTTAAAGTGCTAGAGATTGAAATCGGTCTATTGATAAAACCAAGCCAAGCCAACTATGTCAATTTAGCATTATTTCATATAATACATACTCAGTTTCCTGATTTAAATTTTTAAAAGCCCTCCTCTCTGGAGTAGTTAACCACAACATAGAGTCTCTGTGGTATGGTAATGTTAGAAATAAAATAAGTTAATGTACTAATAGCTGTATATAAGTACTATAAAATTAAGTATATATAAAGTATGTCTGAGTAAGGAATTAATACTAGTTATCTAGAAAATATACACCAAGGTCGCACTGAGCCAGACATATTGATCACTCTCTTTTAGAAATTTCCTCCCAGACACACTTCCAGCAAAATAAACCCAAGAACAAGGAAATGTCAAGCCCACATTCTGTAAAATTCAATACGGTTTGTTTCAGACGACAGGCTTGCCACCACACTTAAATTAACAGTGGAATCAAATCTTTAACAGCTAAGTTGCCACAAATATTGATGTGTGCCAAAAATATATTAAAGGGAATTATTGAATACACTGACTTTAAAGCTAAAGTATATCAGATTGTTATAAAAAGTATTTTAATGAAGGTTTGCACATTTTACAAAGGAAACTACAGACAACCACTTGAAATGAAATGAAAATGGTGTTTTATGTCTTACTTTTCCGCACCTGAATAACTAATTGCATTTGATTTCTATTAAAATCTATTGAAGTCCCAGTCAGCTGAATGTTCCAGTTCAATATAATTATGTTTGAAATAACCTGAGTTGATATGCAGTAATTTTTATTTTGGCCGTTGCGTATCAAAATATTTAATTATTTTGACACCTGACATCTATTTCAAATTAGAAACATTTACAAGCAAATTCATTAACAAAAAATCCAAGATGCATAAAACAAAAACAATGGAATTGGAATATTATATGGAAAAAGCTGAAATGAAATGAATGGGTTCA